TATGTAACCTAAATACGATGTGGACAACTGAGAGACAATGTGCAAAATGAAATCAGGATAGTGGAATTATGAATAATTTTAAAGCAAAACATTATTTTATGGTCATATCTTCTTTTCAATAAAAAATTACTAGAGCCTGAAATTTTCTTAGTAAAATGTCACATGTAAAAAGATACTTCTAGTACTCCTATTTTAATATCGACAGATAACATTTATTTACTGCTCACATGAGTCAGGCACTGTTCTAAGTGCTTGACATGCAAGTTCTATTTAATCTTCATAAAAACCCTCTGAGGTGGCTACTATTATTAGCCTTATTTTATAAATGAGAAAATTGTGGAATAAAGAGTTTAAGTAACTTGTTCAAGGTCACACTGTTCTTTAATAAAATGTAAAAAAATCTAACTGGATGATTAAATAAATGGTGATGAATTTATACATTGGAATACTTCACAGCAATTAAAAGGAATGGGTTAGATCTCTATGTGCCAATATGGAAAAAAATGTTGGATTGTTAAAACATTTTGAAAACATAAAAATGCAGAACAGTGATTACTGTAAAGTTCCATTTTTTGTAATATTTTAATATTATCTACTCTACAGTCCCATTTTTATCAATAATAATAATATTGTTAATTACATGTGTCCATGTCCATATATGTATAGGGAAAGCAATTCGGTAGAATGTGTCCTGTATTGCCGATAGTGGTTATCTCTGGAGGGTAGAATTTTGGGTCATTTTGAACAGTCTATAATATATTTCTGCAATGTTGAAAATTGTATAATTTGTATTAAAAAAATAATAACCAGACAAAAGCTACTACAAAGAGCACTAGGCAAGATCTTTCAGCTAAATTTTAAAATAAAGAAAATATGAACAAGTTAGACCAAGCAGAACAGATGAAAGGACATGCCATTTACCATACAATTGGAAGAAAACATATAATAGAGTATCCTGGCTAAAAATTTATAAAAATTTCTAACTGATCTAAATGTAATTTAAAGTTAACCGTTTCATTTGAGATTGAAAAACTTTCTAAAATGTGAGTCTACCTTCTTAATTTCTAAGTTGACTTTTTCTTCTGTTTATGGATCTTTTAGAGTCTCCAAGTCATCTTTGTAATAATTAGTTCTGACTGTGCAGGGCCACACTAAAGAAGGCAGAATTTAGACCAATCAAAGGAGACAGTCTCATAGTTACTTTTTAAACTAATCTGCAATATTGACATTTCCTTGTAACACATTTCTTCAAAAAAGTAGAGTATAGACAATTTTTATTTAATTGATGGTCATGGTTATCAGAGTTTAAAAAGTTATATGTAAATATTCAGTGTTTGAATCAATTCATGATATTCATGGGCTCTGAAGGGAAGCTATTGGTGTGTGGAGTATGTCCCTAACTATGAGTTGATGTCAGAGAGGGTGACCACGACCTCTCCCAAATCATCTGATTTTTTTCCCAGTAATTCACTTATTTATTCAACAAACATTTATTGAGAATCTACTATGTGCCAGGCAGAACAGAATATGCTGGTGATACAAAGATATATCAGACACAGTCACATCCTCAGGTAATTCGCAGTCTACTCGGGACCCAGCTACTAAAAACAAACTTTGGAAATATTAAACCATTTACAGACAAAACATTTAAAAATATTAATGATAAAAATAACTAACTTTTACTGAGCACTTACTATGTAATAAGTAATTACCATACGCGATCCCATTTAATTCCCACAACTACTGCATGGGGTAGGAATTAATAAGTCAGGCCTAGACAGGCTAAGTGCCTTGCCCAAACTCACATAGCTAGTAAGTGATAAGACTTGGATTTACACTCAGGCAACCTAATTCCAGAGGACGCATCCTTCTGAGAATGAGAGACACTTCTGTTGCTAGCCTCTTGATAAGGACACCAAGGTGAAGCAAAACATTAACAGAATAAAGAAATTAATTATGAAGAAAGTACAGGCAAAGTAGGAAGATTTCAAGCCATGAATCATACATATACTTAACCCACAAAGAGGATTACAGCAATTTATGGGATGATGTATTATTTATAAGCAAATAGGAAGTTACTGGAAGAATCATCAGCAGTGACACAAGGTAGAAAGCTGCTTTCCTGCATTTAAAAGCTCTTCTATACAGTTCTAGCCACTAACAATTCTAAATAAAGGCATCAGGCGGCCTCAGAGTACTCCGAGCTCTGTGCCATTAGAGATACAGTAAGTTCTTTCTGAGTACTGTCACTGAAGGGAGAAAAGGGCACAGTGCATGTCTGATCTGCCCATGGCCAAAGAGAAAGAAAAAGAGCTTCTCATTCACAGATTCGGTTTGAGAATCCACTGGGAAGGACTCTGATTGGTGGCCTAGGGAACTACAATTGCTTCATCTGGGTCATGGCCCACTCTGTGACCAGGAAGGTAGAGGTGTTACTAGAGATAGGGAATGCAGAGGATGCTGCGAAGACCAAGGACAGCCTCCACAGGTATTACTGCCATCAATTCATTCAACAGATATCTACTGATAACCTAAGATATGCCACACTGGGACACAGAAGTGAGTAAGACAAATTTCTAATCCTAAGGTACTTACAGGTTAATACAGAGAGAAAAGACATTAAATAGCATATGATTTAGATGAAAAGAAAAAATTACCATACAATAAAGCAATGGTGAACAATTGTACATGGTTTATAATTAAGTGCTAAATTGTGCGGTGCAGACCACAAGTGATATGGTTGTCTTAAAGAAAAGGAAATCAATACAGTAGTCACAAACATGAATTAAGCCTTAAAGGAGGGAGGATTTGGCTGGAAGAAGATAGGGGAAGAAATTCAGAGGAAAAGGCTATTATGAGTGGAGGGATGGAGAGAAAGGACAATCAGTGAGAAGACTGACTTGAGAAAAGCAGTGTGTGCAGTAGGTGAGAGCTCATAAACCACACAGCTAAGGCTGGTTACCCTCCGTCCCTGACCAGAATAATCTCAGTGGCCTCATGATGCTGGAAGGATCCACATGTGTCAGAATTTGATAGAAAACACACCCTTAATCAGAGGCTGAAGGGCAGAGTGAGGTTATCCACGGGGGTCTAGGAGGAGATCAAAGGTATTAGAACAGCGGACACCTTCCTGTGTGCATAATTTTCGAGAAGGCCAGCATAGCCACAAGGCCTGCTGGAGGGCAAACCATAACTTGAGTGCCGTATAGATTAAAATCAGTTAAAACCTCTCAAATACCATAATTTGGGAATCTCTACCTGACTTCCTGACTAAAATCTTTTTCTAAATTTCCAATGCCTTAGAATGAAATGCCATGTCTTAGTATGGATTTAGGAAATATATGGCCCTTGATCTAACACTTGCCTACCTTTATGGCCTCACTCCCACCTCTGCCTGATAAGGCTCTCATCATAGGGAACCATGGGCACTTCTCTGAAAGTTGGTTCATCTTGCCTTCTCATGCCCCTGGGTCTCCTGTTTGAGTGCCCTTTTTCTCTTCTCTGCTTAGCTAATTCCTACTTGTCATTTAAAACTCAGTTTGATGATTTTTTTCCTCTAGGAAGTATAGAATTATTGGTGATTATGGGTGATTTATGTAAGATTTATTGGCAGGGACCTGGATGCCAGTGGTTGCTGGGTGGGGGTCATTACGTTGAGGACAACAAAGCTGGGAAGCTGATGACTGAGAACCCATTTTGGGGAGATGAGAAAGATGCAGGAGACAGGGAGTGTGTGAGCCAAGACTCTAATCTTTTGGCACATACTCCATTGTTTCATAAAACTTCACTAATAAAACACAGATTCAAAGATGAAAATTATTAAGAATTTCAAGACAGCAAAACTCAAGAGCAGAGCCCTGTGTGACTGCACTGATCATAAGCTCATGAAGCCAGCTGCACATACATGTCTGTTCATACAGCACTGGTTATAAGAGCAAAATGTAAAAAACCAAATTGTTCATTAATAAGCAATGAAACAAACTATGGTCCTACTACACAGTAAAAAAATCATGTAGCCAGTAAAAAATAAGAGACAGATACTAGCATAGATAGCTGACCAAAACATTAAGAAGGTTATAGAATATTATGTACGCATTGATTAAAGTAGTAAATATAGTCGGCCCTCTCTACCTGTGGGTTCTACATCTGTGAAATCAGCCAACTGTGGATTCAGCCAACTGTGGACTGAAAATATTTGCAAAAAGATATTGTTGCTGACATATACTATGTAGTTAGGCCCACGATGATTGCGTCTGTCCTGAACACGTACAGACTGTTTTTTTGGTCATTATTCCCTTAACAATACAGTGTAACAACTATTTACATAGCATTTACCTTGTATTGCGTATTGCTTTTTTTTTTTTAATGCCTTCAGCACCCAGTCTTCCTAGGTGGTCTCCCATCCAAGTACTAATCAGGCCTGACCCTGCTTAGCTTCCAAGATCAGATGAGATCGGGCGTGTTCAGGGTGGCATGGTCATAGACTCCTTGTATTAGGTTTTATAAGTAATCTAGAGATGATGTAAATTTTACTGGAGAATGTATGTAAGTTATATGCAAAAACGACATCATTTTATATGAGGGACTTAGAGCATCCTTGGATTTGGGTATCACAGAGGTCCTGGAACCAGTCCCCTACAGATACAGAGGGATGTGTGTGTGTGTGTGTGTGTGTGTGTGTGTGTGTGAATGTCTACATAAAGGAACATTGGGAAGGATACTCAAATCCCCAAATCTCTTAAAAAATGATTAGAGGAGGAAGAAATTTTCTTATACCTGTAATATTTCAGGTCTTACATTAACATATAGTTTTTTAAATTAAAAATATGGTTAAAAAATTCAACTCTAACACCTAGAAACCTGTCTGAACCACAGTGAAATATGTTGGCTTCATTTCATTTCAGAACATAAAAAGACCATGGAAAATAATCTTCCTGACTTGTGAAAAACACTACTCATTAAAATTCTTACCATTTTTAACCTTTTCATTTAATTCTTACCATCACTGCTGGGCTCTTCAACAGGGGATGCTGAGTCCATACACTCTAGGACTCCCTTTGTGATCTCGACCACCTGAAGCCTCCTGACCGTGCTAAGGTCTGTATCTTTCAATCCTTCCTCTAATTGTTTGACCACCTCTTTTCCAGCATGGGAAGTCAGAACAGTAATCTGGAAATAAATCCAAGAATCAATGTGTCTACCTTCTCTGGTGTATACAGTGAGGACTATAACAGATTAGAAGTAGAGGAGAAGTACAGGAGAAGTCTGTGGAAGTGGCTGGCTACTGTCTTTAGGACAAAGAAGAGGGTTTAATTATAACTTAAAAATCAAATTTCATTTAACAGATTCTTTTGGGAGAGCCCTGGTGGAAGTGATCATCCCAAGGTCCTTCCAAACAGGCTAAGTCTACCGCAGAAAGTGACCTGTAAGAAGCCATCCCTGTGTTTTAATTTTTTAAGATTGCTCGGAGTTCTGGTAGTATCTGTTCTGCTTAAAAATGCTTTGATTTTACGAGGAAATAAAGGAAACAGGATCCTTAAATTCTACTCACTAAATGTGTTCTGAATATCCGAAAGCCTATATACTCCTTTCTCATGGTGATGCTTCCACGTAGATTTCTTTCCTTACTCTTCCTGGATTCAGTTAAACTGTTTTTGTTGTTGTTGTTCTCTTAACTCTAAAATGTACTCACCCTTGAACAGTATATCTGACCTGAAGGAATACTGAGGTGTTTGTATATAACTTAAATATTTTATTCCACCTGAATGAATATACTCTATGTTTTTATTAGCAGTTTTGTCTTGAATTTGAAACTCTGGGATGCAATTCTTTTTTGTACTTAGACATTTTTGATGGATGAAGAGGGATGAAGATGAAAGTACAGTATTTTTTAAATACTGTTTTTAAAAATCTGTCTGATGCCTGAGGTTACCAGAGACTGAAAGTGTTTTAACTCACACCCACACACTCAATGGAGTATGCAGTCATGACTTATTACATTTTTAAGATTATCTCCAGAATTTTAGAAATTTTCACTCTTGCACATTTGCTAATCCTAAGAAAATTTACTCAATTTGATGCCAAGATTTGATTAAGAACAACTGTAAATTTTAAGCGTACCCAGAAAATATAAATATAGAACCAATGTAGGCAGTTTACTAATTGCTTTACAAGTCCCCCAAATCGAAAAGCAGATGGCATATTCAGATTTTATTTTGATTTCAGTTTTCCCTTATAATTCACTTTAGTCCACATTTTTAGCACTCCTCTCTATGCTTAGCTGTGTACTAAAATTTGCACAAGTTATAGGAAAAAGGGAACATGTCTCCTACCTGCAAGGAGCTGAAAATCTAGCCTTGAAATTTATGTTCAATGTGTATGAAACAGAGAACAGTATAAGGATGATAAATAATGAAGCATCTAGATGGACTGCAATGGGAAGGTGGCTTACACCGCTAAGGTCAGCATCTCTTACCTCCAGGGAAGTGTAACTCAGAACTGTGCCTGTGGTCATATGTCTGCTGTACTGTTTGAACTGCTGGAGCCCATCTTCTACTGCCAGTTGCAGAGAAGTGCCTTGTGGTCTGAAACAACCTTCTCTTGGTAACATGCGGAGTTCTGAGATGCAGGCCTGCAGCCTAGCAAAGTTCCCTTTCACTTGCTGCAGAGAAAAATGAACCGAGGATACAAATCTTTAGTGACTCAGGTTTCAGATTAATTGGTAGTCTAACATCATTATCATTCATTCCTTAGGAGTCCCTTCTCTTCCTGAACATCTGTTTATGTGACCAACATTAACTGAATGCATACTGTGTTCTAGGCACTGCACTCAAGTCTTCCCTACATCAGAAGGAAGAAAACTTGCAGCCACAGGCCTTTGATTATGTGGAGTTACCAGAGATAGAAAAGCAAGTGTTTTAACTCATTCACTCACCCAAAGGAAGGTCCAGCTGTGACTGCTTAGTTTTACTTTGGAGTGGCCTGTAAACTGGAGGACTAGCAGGGTCACTCTTAAACATGTCTTCATTTCTCAGTCAGTCTAAGCACCAAGAGCTTCTCTATTCAAGAGTGATGTCATCCCAGAAATGAGGATGCCGATGTGGTTGATCATTTCGGAACTGGTAAGGTCCTACATAACCTGCTCCTCAGGATCACTTCAGTAAATAAGAGATGCTTGGTTTCGTCTGCAGTCAGCTCAAGGGGCAACAAATAAACTTCTTGGTTCTCCTTACCTTCCTTCTTAAAAACTTGCTATCAAGAAGTAATCTAATATAATCTGAGTCTAAATTAACGTCACGTCTCCTAAAAATATATACATTTTAATAAATGTGGAATGAAAATTTATGACACTATTTGAAGAAATTCCAAGCATCAATATCAGGTGTGGGTGGGTGGGAAGGAGTTATATTTTGGAAACCTTCCTCACCAAAGAGTGAATGAAAGTGAGCAATATTTGCAAATGTACATAAAATTCATAAGCATAAGTTACAATACTGCCAGGTACAAAGACTGCTTAAGTCAACACTGCTCGACTCACTTCCACAGCTACTTACTTTGCTTACATACTCCTCTCCCTAAGTTTCTGGGAACAACACAAGAAATAAGATATAATTCTAACACAAAGAGAACTTGCAATCTAGATAGAAAGCTAAAGATCCTACTCAAGAAAGAAATGAGAACAAATGAGATCACAGGTAGAGACTCGCAGCCTTTGAGTATTTCATCTCATGTACCCCTAAAAGAATGTGAAGAATAATATACTCCTTTATATATTTTTAAGTTGACATCTAGATTTTAAAATTCTGAGTGTAAGTAGTTGCTAAGGATATAACTTCCAGTATATTTTAAATATCAATATTTTAAAATAAAACTATAACATCAACCTTCAGAACATAATCCAATAGAATCTAAACACCAGAGAGATTTGATATTCACTATTAGTCAATTAAAAAGTACATGAGCAAGCTCTTTTTTCTTTTCAATAGATATTTATATTATTCCTTTTTCTCCTTGAACTCATATTTCCATTTCACTTTTCCCACACAGTTTTATCATAATATAATATAATTTTTTTGGTTGGCAATCTTTTATTGATCATCCTATCATACTTCTCTGCATCAAAAATATTTACATATTATAAGATTTTTAAAATTTCCTATAACCATAGGCTCTAAGGGATAATCTGAGTTATTAGAATTACTGTTCATATACGATTAATCAAAACAGCATATATCATTGATTTTAATAAATAACTATTGGCATTAAGCAGAAACTTTAATTGGAAATGCATTTCTTATTAGAATGGACACGCTGGGTTCTTTTTTCAATTAGTTCAGGTGTGTGTGAATAAATAAATTACATACCACTTGAATGACAGTGCATTTGGTATTAATTCTATTCTTATATTCTATTGTTATAATGCTGAGAAATCTTGTCTTCCTAAATATAAGATGCAATGTCAATGAAATTGTCAAATTCCTCTGAGTCATACATATATCTACCAATAAAAATTATTTTAGTGATCTATCAGCTGCCACTCAATTTGGTCTTGCTCCAATTTTGTGAAAATTGGAAACCACCTGGTTGCAAAAGACTTTTAACCCAGAGTCATAAATCATTGACTTTCTCGCACTGATAACCAACATTTTGAATTATTCCTTTGTTTGGTGCCTCCGGAAGTTTTAAAACTACATGGCAATCCATCACAGTAAGATTCATAATAGGGAAAAGATATGTACCTCTCATCTCTTCCTTTTTACTTTGGATTTTATTTGTGAAGTGAAACAAGGGTAATTGTGAAAGGGATGGTGGGAATGGAGAAGCAGCCTGACACCCTCATCACAGGTATAGTTAGAGAAGTTTTAGAAAAAAATACTAATGGAAATTCAGGATCTGTATATCAATTTAAAATTATCTATTTCTGTTTACTCTGGGGAGTCCTCTTGTGGCCCTATAATATATATATCCCAGTTTGAAGAGACTGTCATAGATTATGGATGCTTTAGGAGTTTAGAAAAAGAAAGGTAAGTGTTGTTGGAAAGCAGGTGAGATTGAGCTGAGAATTGAAAGGGTAAGATTTGTGAAAAAAATGCAGTATTTTCTGTGTGTATGTGTGTGTGTGGGATGCAGTAGAGAGGCAGAAAGTTCAATACAAGCAATGGTATGGAGGATAAGAGTGAATATTATGTACCAGAGAGAATGAAAAAATGTGCCTGACAAGAGTAGAGGAGCTTGTTAAGAAGTAGTGGGCATTTTAGTTAAAGAAGTACTAGGTCTTAGCTCAGGCTTTTGATCCAAACAGACTCGAGTTCCAAACACGGCTCTCTCTCTTATTGGCTGTGAGTCCTTAATCCTAAATTCCCTCAGCTAGGAATTGGGGACAATGATGATACTGATCTTAAAGAGTAAGTATTAAATGAGTTAATTTATCACACAGTATGTACTCAGTGCTAGCTGTAGCTATTATTTTTATCACTATGAAACCCTGAAAGCACTTAAGACATTGCTGATTAAACAGAAGGGATTTGTACTGACTTAATGACTCTGTTCTACAATTGACAAAATAAAAAAAAAAAAAAAAGAATTATACTATGTAAATGACATAGACCCATCATTCACTTATTCATTTAAAAAATATTTATTATCAGGTACTTATGATGTACTAGGTACCTTAAAAAAGACATAATTCCTGATTTCCACTACCAAAATATGAGATAAGTAGCTTCAGAATACAAAGAGCTACAATAGAATGACATTTTCCAAAGTATGTTGATTGATTGTTGTCTATCTCACTAGAATACAAACTCCATTAAAGAGGAATCTGAACTGTCTCTTTATTACAATGTGTGCAGGGCCTAATACTGACTGAAACACAGCCGGTATTAAACAAATTAATTTTGAATAAATGGATGCATATATAATAAATTTCAGAGGGATCAAAAATATAAGTTAGAAAAGAAAACCTGTACATAGCTTCCAAATTTTTTTGTGATTTTTTCTTCTCTCATTTTTTTCTTGTGAGTTTTTAGTGTGGTGGAAGAGATTCTAGTTGTCCCTCAACATTTATCTTCTTCCTCAAGTACCAAAACTGTCGGTTTTTACATGGGCACTATGCTTATCTGTAATAATGGCTATATTTCCCAGTGTCTCATACACCTAGGAGTTTGAATATGGTTAGGTTCTGGCCAATGGTAAGCAGCGACAGGAGCCACTTTGCTAAATGGCTTTAAAGTGTGTGGGAGTTCCTTTGCTCTCCTTTTCCTCTCTTGCTTGCTAGACTACAGGCATAAGAGTGGCCAGCTTGGACCACAAGATAGCCAAATGAGAGCACTATTAGTCCAAGAACCCACTGTAGATCATATGTGATTTAAATAATTTCTTTGTTCTCATAAAAAGATAAAAGAATTGGTTAGACCTTTGCAGTAAGGAAATTCTTCTGAAACTGTTTTGAGAGATTAATCACTTTGGTCAGATTTATTTATATTAAGGGCACAATGGATATAAAGGAATTCTAATATTTTTATTATGATTCCTCTGTTATAATTCCTTACAAAAAGTTCAGGCTTATCTGTTTATACTCAGAAATTAAAAATAAGGAGTTATATTGAGGTGTTCATTTTGGGCAAGGTTCCTACCTGCTATCTCTCTTCACTTATGTTTTGAACTAACTCTGTATGTGTCAGACACTTATATAGGTCAGAGACAATGAATTTAAGGTAACATTTTTCCTTAAACAAAGTTTGAGTTGTTCTATACACAGGTAATGTTCCAGTGATTTTCTTGAGCTTTTAACCAGGGTTGACTTGTTATTTTGGAAAAAAATTTTGCAATTTTTCCTGAGTTGACGGTCAGTGGTTTTTACTCTAGAATGGTCTGCCTCTCCTAATAGAGTAATTAAAGGATCTAGGGATTCATCTAGTCAAAGGTACTGAGGAGTGCCAGATGCATATAACATAGTCACTTGAGGAGGGAAAAAAATGCTTTTACCTTTGTTTGGGACATGAGCACAATTCTCAAAAAGCCTTTTAGGCTGGATATCTTCCATTTGCCCTTCCAGTTCACTCTCTGCTTTTCTCTACTCCTATTCTGTGACAGAAGATAGATATCACAGCCAAATGTGGTTATGGGACAGACATGTGCAAGGAAAATGGCACAATAGAGGAACATATCTGCCACATGGCCATAAATATCACTATCACTTCCACTTTGCCCTCAGAATACTTATAAGATATATAATCACTGGATTATATACAGTGAGAGTTATACATTTTGACAATCCATTCACCAGTTTACAGACATTCTGATTGTTTCCTGTTTGGTGCTATTATGAATAATGTTACCATGAACATTCATGTGCATGTATTTGTGTGAATGGATTTTTTCATTTCTGTTGGGTACATTCCTGGGGGTGGAATTGTTGGGTTATATAGAAGGTATATATTTAAATTTTTAAGAAATTTACAAACTATTTTCCAAAGTGGTTTTATCAGTTTACCTTCCTCTCAGAAAGGAACGAGGGTTATAGTTTCTCCACATTCTCATCAACACTTGGTATTGCCTGTCAGTATTGTCTGTCTTCTTAATTGTAGCATTCTAGTGAGTGTGTAATGTCACCTTTTTCTTTAACTTTTTATCTTGAAATAATTACAGATTCATAGAAAT